TTTCTCATTGAGAAGGTTGTAATTCAATTAAAGTGAAAATAAATGTGGTTGCTTTTGTGAATATCGAACTGTGTTTTTCAACTCCGAGTTTAACTCGATTTAAATTTCAGAATTGAAGTAGGATATTTATCGTTCAAGTTTTTATGTACTGTGTTGTACTTCGGAATGTATTCTTCAATAATTGTCAATTTAATTCCCTCCCCTGTGACGCACACCGTCTTTTTCCCCTCCATAGATTTGAGAACGAAGGTGCGCTTTGTACTCGAGTAGATACGATAGCTAACGACAAAGATCGTGTTACAGATTCTGTGGTTCATCCGAATGCGTTACTGGAGTGGCTGAAGAAACAAGTGGAGCCGTATGGGGACATCTTGACAGTGAATGACATGTGTCTTTCGTTCAAGAATGGCATGGCCCTTTGCTGCATCATCCATCGGTGCGTAGCATTTGCGGTTTGATGAGGTGAAAACGGCAAACATTTTATTTTTATGTCGCCTTCTCGTGGCACATAGTTATCGTCCGAACTTGGTCAATGTCCGGAATCTGGACCCGGAGAATGCAGCTGGCAATAATCAGCTGGCGTTTGATTTGCTTGAGGACGAGATGGGAATCCCACCTGTGATGACTGGAGCCGAAATGGCGAAGTGTGACGTGCCTGACAAATTGACTATGGTTTCCTACTTGTCTCAAGTTTATGAGTCCTTCCGACGAGAAATTCCTCACGTTGTTCGTTCGCTGGAGGTGAGCTTTGACGATGGTTTTGTTCGATTTGCATTAATTATTGGGATTTGTATCCTCGTCAGCGAGGGAAAATTGGTGAAAAGTAACTTTTTCATTTTGGAATACGGTACTTCAGCCGTTCAGCGTACACGCGTATAATCTTCTTGGGTGGAAACTCCTTGTCTGGAAAGCAGAATGCATTTTAGAACGGCGCGTGTCCGGAAAATAATTTTCCAAAGCTGGAGAAAAAAAACGAACATTGCAAGTGAACTGACGAAAGAAGCACATAAGAGCACAATGAAAGTAGTAATACAGGGAGACTTACTGGAAAGGTTTAAATATTTCATCATTTTTTTATACTTATGTTCAGCATAGAAAAACTTTCAAGGAAAACTAACCGCATTGTATCACTAAGGCTTTGACTTGAATATACTTTTAAGAGTTCGTGCCGTTCGGCTCTAATGCCGTTTCAGACGCACGCAGCTTCGGACACGCGCTGTTTCAAGGGCGTGCTGTTTTGGGACGCGCTCAGTTGTTTATTCACGGGCCTATTTTTGGAGAAAAAGCTCTATGATTATGTTAATTTTTTTTCTTCTTCTGCAGTTGGAGTCGGCGGGTTCATTAGACAGTATTCCAGATACCGCCAGTGGAAAAAGAGTCTCCACTCCTGGACAGCGTCTCAGTCTTCTCAATAAAATATCCCGCTACAGTTCCCAGCAGCAACATGCCTCAAGAAGTGCGAAGCTTATTGATCGCGCGTCATCAGGGGAATTGTTCAGTCCTCCTTCAACTTCCCAGCCTACTCTCAATAGCAGTAAAAAAGCAAGGAAACGTCGATCAGGAGTTGGAAAGGATATTGTCTCGGTAAGGTTAATTTTTTTTTATTGTTATGGTGGTGGTGGTGCTTATATTGAAGGACCAAGAAAAATATCTATATATATATATATATATACAGTATATATGCGGTAAATATGATCCGGGTTTTGGGCTTCTGCAGGACCTAATGTCTCTGGCGACTAGCGTAGCGTCGTTGTTCTGACATCGTTGGAGTTCCAAAATTAATTTTTATTCCCCAAGTTTATTCAGTTGCGTTTTCTTCTGATATCCGAAATGGATCACTCGAGTGATGTTGAAAATGAATGAAACATATTGTATTGTTCTTGTACGTGCGTACAGTACTTCACCTTTTCTGACGTCGATTGGATGAGCCCCGTTCTTCATCATCCATGAACATTATCATTTTTTGATAGCATCTGCATTTTAAAAATGTATTCAAAACTGCACCAGTGAGGTTTTCGTTCGTACTTATTCATACGGCGGGACCGGTTTGGCTTCACGACGTTGATTTTTCTTCTTGCTCGATTCTTTTTCTCGCTGCGTGATTCTTCTTCCGATTTTTGGATTCTGAAAAAAAAACCAAATAAAAGCATAGAAAAAGCGACAGGGAACGTTTCGAGAAATCAATGCAGTTGCTGCGTGGTTGGGACTCGGGAGGGCGCGAGGTCAGACTTGCAGACAAGGTGCCCGAAATGGAGGACTTCACGCTGTTCTTGTATCG